AGGATCAGGAGGAGGAGGGGGGAAGGAGGAGGAGCAGGAGGGGGAGGGGGACTCGCTGGGCTGTTGCCGAGGCGGTGGGACGTGGGAATGCCCCTCCGGATCGGGTCTGTCTTGTCCTTGCGCCCGCCCCCCAGTGTCTGCTCCCACAAACGACTGTATTAGATATCTTTCAACAGCAGCGTCATGGAGGATCAACGCAGGAACAACGGCAAGGCTCAAACTCAGCATGGCCTTGTCAACACGGAAGATGTGATGGGAAAAGAAGGGGGATGATGCTCACACAACCATGAGTCGGTGATGGCAGAGGACGTGGTGGTGGTGATGGTAGATGGTGACAGCAAGATGTAGTGGAGACCGTGATGGCTGTGATAAAAACAAGGGTGATGGCGGTGGTGGAGAAAATGCAGTGATAGAGGAGGTGGTAGAATGGTCGGTGATCTGATGGTGAAGGCGATGATGACAGAGACGGTGTGACAGTGGTGATTATGATGAATGGCACTGTAGTAGTGGTGATAATCGTGGTGATTGTGGTGGTGGTGGTGATGACAGTAGTTGATAGTGTGGTGTGATGGTGGTGGTGATAGTGAAGATGGTGATGGTGGTGATGACAGCTGGTGGTGTGATGGTGAATGTGATGATGATGATGGTGGTGGTGATGATGGTTGGTGGTTTGGTGATAATGGTTGATGATGTGATGATGATGGTTGGTGATGTCATGATGATGGTGGTTTGGGGATGATGGTTAGTGATGCAATGATGATTGGTGATGTGATGACGATGATGTTGGTGGTGATGATGATAATGGAGGTGAGTTGTGTGTGGTGGTGCATGAATTTAAGCCTAAAATTCAGGAGGCAGAGGCAGGATGGTCTCTGTGAGTTCAAGGCCAGCCTGGTCTACATAGTGAGTTCCAGGACAGCCAGGACTATACAGAGAGACTACATCTCAAAAAAAAAAAAAGTGGTAGTGGAGGTGATGGTGGTAGGGATGGTGACAGTGATGGAGGTGGTGACGGAGGTGGTGATGGAGGTGGTGGTGGAGGTAGTGATAGAGGTGGTGATGGAGATGGTGACGGAGGTGGTGATGGAGGTGGTGATGGAGATGGTGATGGAGGTGGTGACGGAGGTAGTGATGGAGGTAGTGATGGAGGTGGTGATGGAGGTGGTGATGGAGATGGTGATGGAGGTGGTGATGGAGATGGTGATGGAGGTGGTGGTGGAGGTGGTGATGGAGATGGTGATGGAGGTGGTGATGGAGGTGGTGATGAAGGTAGTGATGGAGGTGGTGATGGATGTAGTGATGGATGTAGTGATGGAGGTGGTGGTGGAGGTGGTGGTGGAGGTGGTGGTGGAGGTGGTGGTGGAGGTGGTGGTGGAGGTGGTGGTGGAGGTGGTGGTGGAGGTGGTGATGGAGGTGGTGGTGGAGGTGGTGACGGAGGGAAAGATCGTGGTATGGATGGTGGTGTGATGATGATGGGGGTGACAGCAGTGGTGGAAGTGATGAAGGTCACATGGTACAGGTAATCATGTTCATGGCTGCAGAAGTGATGGTAAAGACCCAGCACCGCAGACCAGCGCATCCTCTGCCTCCCAGAATGGCTGCTCCTGAAGGTAGGAAGAACAGAGCTCTGACAGATCTTGACAGGGCAGTTAAGAGTATCTTGAGCTTAGAAAGAACATTTAATCTTGGTTAAAAATAAATAAGTGCAATTATTGGAAAGAGAAAAAATAGGCTAGTGTTTACTGCAAGTGAATGAAAAGTAATTACTCTAGGGAAAGTCCCCTTTCGGGATGCTGGGAGCCATCTTCTCCCTCCTTTCGGGTTCACTGGAAACTGGTAATTAAAACTTTGGAGGGAGCCAGGCAGAGGTGGCACACGCCTTTAATACCAACACTCAGGAGGCAGAAGCAGGGGGATCTCTGAGTTTGAGACCATCCTGGTCTTCAAATCGAGTTCCAAAACAGCCAGGACTACATAGAGAAACAGTGTCTCAAAACAAACAAACAAACACACACACACACACACACTCACACACACAGAGACTCACACATATACACATACCACACACACACCACACACACACCACACACACACACACACACACACACACACACACCTTTTGCAGGGCCTGGCAGGAGCAGCAGTGTGGCTTTGCCCAGCACCCCTGGAGTGCATTCCCCTCACATCCTTTAATGACAAGGCACGTGCCCACCATGATGCCCATAGCAGCTCACTCTTGCTCCTCTGCACTATGACCCCAGATAAACCCTTCCGAGCCTGTGAAGTGGAGGGTGACAGCATCTGCCCTGGGTTGATGGGAAGGGAGGGTCAGGGATAGAGGCTGTGTCCCTGTGTCTCTGTGTAGAAGGACAGACTTGTCTTCCTTCCCCAGACCCTGATCCAAACCCAAGGCCTCTTCCTGCTTACCTGGAGGTGGCTTCGTGTCCCCATGCCCTGTGGTAGGATGATAGCCAAAGTCAAAAGCCCAAAAGAGGGATGGAGGCAGGGTCTGCTCCTGCTGGGCCCAATCTGGCAATGGTTTGAGGGAGCTGGAGTCAGAGCAGCCTGGAGGCCAGGTAGGGGTGCCCAGAAGGAGCTGTACACAGTCTACCGTCAGCCTAAGACCCCAGGACCTGCTGCACATGTCCAGGGCTCTACCCTGGATCCAGCGGGGTGATGTGCCTTTGGTTCCCAATGAGACCAAGCAGCACCATTAGCTTGGGCCTCAAATGTGTCTTCCTTGGTGTGCTCGGTTAGGCTAGCCTCATCTCATCTCTCCCTGTGCATCCATTCTCCTCTCCTGGCTGCATCGACACCTCTGTGGATGACCCAGGCTTGACCCCCAGGCAGCATAGGCCCAGCCTCAATGAGTGCTTGCCTACCGTGTGTGATGAGTGGCCTGGAGCGGCTGTGTAATTAGTGGGAACGTGCCTCATTTGCCAGGGAGGAAAATCCCATCTTGGAAACACACATCAGATGCAAGTTCAATTTTACCCAAGGGGCCATAAAACCCCTTTTCCAATCACCTGGTACTGTTGGCTGCCAGCAATGTTAATCCTGGCCATGTTATTTAGAGCTGAGACATCACTTGGGGAAAAAAAACAGGTCCAAGACCCTCCCCGAGGAGCCCCTGATTCTCCTGCAGAAGCCCCAAAGATAGATGATTGAAGTTCTCCAGAGGTGGGTTCACTAGCAGGTGGGGAGACTGAGAACCCGGATGGCTGCAGGGACTGCCACACACGGGGAAATGTGGTCCCACTTGCTTATAGACACTGTCCTTCTAGTCCCTCATCACCTGTCCGCCCCATCCTCCCTCCAAGATCGGTACTATCTTCCGGCCTATCATTAGAAATCGTTTCCTTGATTACTGGGGTAACAATGAAAACACGTAATTGAATCTCCAAGAAATTACCATTTTTATAACTCGCGCCTAGTTCCTGAGATAAATTAAACATCTCTCTCGTATTGCAAGCAGCTTCTGGAACGTGAGCGAGGGACGGATACTGCCCTTTATCACTGATGCGGGCTTCAGTGAGAAGACGCTGCTGCCTCCTGGGAGGCCTGGCGGCTTCTGGCTAGCCTGAGTGGCTACACAGCCACCCGTCATAGGGTAGGTATGTGGTGGGGTAGCTGGCCTCTCAGCTGCCTGACTGGGCGAGGCGGGGTGTGTGGGGGGGGTAGGGGGGGAGTGGGGGGGAGTAGGCTACCTTTTGGACCATGCTCCCTCCAAAACACACGGTTGAAGCCTCTAGCCCAGCAGCTTTCTAGCGGGTACAATCCAAGGAGCTGGAGGAAGTGAGGCTGAGGATCCAGCAGGTAGGGAGGCAGTAGACTGGGGAGGAGGGCAGTGAGCAGGGTGTGTGAGAGCCGTGAGGAAGAGGAGCAGAAAAGGGGAGCCTGGACGGTGGGAGAGGGACACATAGCATGATGAGCCCACCTGGTCCACAGACATTTCAAAGTCAGGCAAGTGAGGGTCTGCTGAGGATGCTCCCATGCAGGAGTGGCCGGGTGGACCGGGCTGTGTGTGAGAGAGAGGAAGTGGGTGTGTGGCCGATGGAAGAAAAGTTTGCAGGGCTCGCAGCCATGGCGGGCACTGTGCTGGGAGGTAAATAAATTCCCATGGCTCTTGCTGGCTGGGGGAGGGGAGACTGCAGGCCCCAGGACTCAGGGATACGCTTTCTGTACTTGTCCTCAGTGTTCAACAGAACCAGCTTTAAACAGCGGGGCGTAGAGAGAAGCCCCTGAAGAGACCGGAGTGGGGGAGGGCCAGCGCATGGACCGAAGGTCTGCTCTCTGCGTGAGAGGCAGGGCGGCTGGGAAAGCAGCGCCCCATCCTGACCATCTAGACAGACTCAGGGTCTGAGGCTGGAGTCACCAGGAGCTGGGACTCTGGCTAGCAAGGCAGGACTTCCTCCTGTACAGTGGCCAGGTGGTCTTTTGGTGGAACACGGGAAGTGAAATGGGGAGTTACCACGCTGAGGGGCTGGGGGCGCCACACCAGCCAATGTCCCCCCTCTCCATCACCCTCCCTTCCTTCTCGGTCCTCCCTCATCCTGAAAAACCTCCGTCACCCAAAGGCTTACCTGGAGGCTCTGAAGGAGTCTCGTGGTCAGACAGCGGCGTGCAGCCTGTCTACTTCCGGCCACGGGAACCATGCTGGGCCAAGGGGCTACTACAGTGCCACTTCACGGGGTACACACGTGCTAGAGTCTATGGATGAGACAAAACTGGGCTCATCCGCTCCGCTTCTGACTTGTCCCCATCCCAGGAGGGCTCTATGGATTGAGGTAGAGCCCTGCCCAGAGCCTGAAGCCAAGCCAAGTCGCCTGGGCTGAGAGGGCCACAGCTAAAAGTCCTGATGAAGGTCAGGAAAATGGCAGCGTAGGCTCTGAGCTCTACATTGAATTCCCAAAGTCCTGTCCCCAGCACACAAGCGAAGGTGTGTCCCCCATGAGGCCGTCAGATGCAGCCTCAGACACTGTGCTCACTCCAGGCTCCGGGTTCTCCACCCCAGACCAACCGTAGAGCAGCATCTTTGGGTGCCCATCCCCTGGTGGGTGGTCGCCACCCTCCTAGAAATCCCTGCTGCTCCTCGGGGAGAACAGCTTGGAGACCCTAGGCCATTCTCAGCCAAGAAGTCAAAGATCTGGGACCACCCTGAGCTTCCCTGCTCACATAGCTGCCAGACTCCTTATCCCAGCTCTAACTGCCCCGGAGCAGAGGAAAGCCGATCCAGAGCTGCCCACGGGAGAGATGGCGGGAACCCCCCTCCCCCTGCACAGTGCCGAGAACATCTAGGATAATTTACTTCAAAGGAAGCCCTGGGGAAAGGAATACCCTCAAACCCGCGAGAGTTGTGACCACATGGCTACCCGTCATGGAAACCACAGACTCAACACAGGGTGGAAGCTTTGCCCCTGCTCTGCCCTTCCCTGGCAGAAGTTTCAGCCTGGGTGGATTCACTCTTCTCCTTCTGCCCTGGGCACTGGGCCCCAGGCACCCGTGCCTGGTCTGCAGGGTTGAGGTGCCATCTGGTGGCAAACATAAGAACTGCACTTTGCTCTGCCTGCCACCAGCGTGGAAGGGCCAGGGGCCAGCTTTTGGCAGCTTAAGGTGACCTCTCATTTGCCCGACGTCCGCTTTAACCTAAGAGTCCTGGTGTCCAGATGCAGAAACAGGCCTTGAGAGCCTGGCACTGTTGCCCACACTGACAGGCCGGTACCCACCAGGAAGAGAGCCAGTTAGGACAGAACAAGAGAGACGAGAACCCATATCCGGTCCCAATAAGGTGAACTTGGTACTGACCACCAGGCAGTCCATTCATGCTGACATTCTGGACACCATTGTCCCTCTAGAAGTGACAAGAGAAGGGACCTGACCCTTTCTGGGCGGGACTCCTAGGTAAGGAGAGAGGCCCCCAGCCTGGGCGGGGACGGCATGTTAGGCTCACACCCAGCAACCTCCTGGAGCACAAGATCAGATCATGGTGGCCAGCATGTCACCTCCCAGCTGGAGGCCTCAACATCCTGAATGATGGTAATCTGCTGGGGCTGTGCCATCCACAGGAGGGTTGCCTTTACCGTTCTTTTCTTTCTGATTCCTAAATTTAAAAACATGAACAGTAGTGTCCAGAGAGTGACCACGGAGGAGAGAGAAATGGCCTGTCACTACACACATCTTGAGAGCACAAAAGCCACTCTGGGGACCGGGAAGCCCACAGGTGTACCTTCCCTCCAAGAGCTTTGGCCTCTGAAATGGGGATCCCCAGAAGGACCTCAAGGCCCACCTAGTTCCTTCTTTGGGGAGATAAGACATAGGGAGAGGGTCTCACTGTGTATCCTACGCTGGCCTCACACTCATGGCAATCCTCCTGCATTAGCCTCACACAATCCTGATACACACAAGTGTGAACCTGCATGCCTGGTTCTAAGGCCCACACCATCATCCCGGGACCCAGCTCCCAGCTTGTTCTGCACCCTGCCCACCGCAGACTGGGGAGGGCAGAGGAGGTCACACAGCTCTGAGAAGCATGTGTCTACCTTACCAGGAACAGAGGCCTAACAGCCCCTACCTTCTGTTCCCAGGATGACTCCGTCACTTAGGCCACTTCATCCCTCATCTGCCCCTCTGGTTATGAGTCTAAGGACATCTGGGAGATCTGAGGCCATGACTCAGAGCCACAGCCAAGTGTCACTCTGCATCTCTAATAGACCAAAGGAGAATTCATGCCTAGGCCACACCCTAGGTCCTGAGGAGGAGGTAAAAGGAGTGACCTGAGTCCCAAGTGAGAGAAGGCAATCCCAAGGCCTCTCCAGGAATGTCTGAAGACCCCCAGGTCCATTCATCGGGGTCTGCTGGGATCCTCTGGTCCTACACAGGGCGCTCTGAGGCTACAAGGGGAGAGGGTGGGTCTGGGCCCGAAGCCAGGCTTGAAAGCACAGAGATGGGCCAGGTGTGGTGGTGCACGCCTTTAATCCCAGGATTAAAGTCCTCTTGGGAGGCAGAGACAGGTAGATCTCAAGGCCAGCCTGGTCTACAGAGGGAGTTCTAGGACAGCCGGGGCTACACAGAGAAACCCTGTCTAAAAAAAACAAAAAACAAAAAACAAACAAAAAAGTCCAAGAGATGGGAACCCCTCATGGGTGCGGCTGGTTCTGTGACTCTGGGTTTACTCAGGCCCTGAAGTGAACGTGGGACATTGAATGCCAAGGCCACAGTGAGTACGGTAAAATCAGACCATGTGGCTCCTGTCTTCATCCCAGGCCAGCTGCAGGCAAGACGCTGTGGACAGACAGCATGGACTCTCCTCACCACACACTTCTTTCCCCAGCATCCCCTGGGCACCACCAGCCAAGGAGGGGTGAGTATGTCTGAGAAGCTAGCCCCTTACCACCACTCCAGGCTCCTCAAGGCCATCCGGGTGTCATGGCAACGTGGGCAGGAAGCGGCTGCCATGGCAACTGGTGTCCAGGGAAGTGTGCTGCCTAGCAACAGGGGCCAGGGCCACTCTAGCTCCTAACAACACACTCTAGTTTCCCACACTTTCTGTGTGGCTGTGAGTCTCCGCACCTCTTCAGGACCCCTACCCAGGGCAGACTCAGCCCTTCTGCTGGAGCCAGGGCCCCACACAGACCCTCACTCCAACCCAACACACCAGCTCGCAGGTTGTTTAATGCATTAGCACAGCTGACGCTCTAAGCAGGATCCAGCCATGCTGCAGACTCGGGATTCTTCTCTCCTTCCGGACTCCCCCACCTCTCGGGACCCTCTGGAGCTCAAGACCATACAAGGACCATGGAAACAGAGAAGGCGTCTTCAGGGCTGGCTCTGAGAGAAGCCAGCCTTCCAGATAGGGCACAGCTCAAGCAAAGGTAAGGTGATCAGAGAATGTGGCATTCCAGGTTGAGGTAGGCACCCTAGGGTCTCAGATAGGAGTGCAGAAGAGCGTCTAAGGTGCCCTGAGTCCTTCCTCACGACTGCTCAGCAGCTGTAGCCCACCCTGAGCATCTGGAGTTGCGACCTGAGGACCCTAGCCTACAGCCTCTGTGCGAGACTGCTCAGGTCATACAGGACAGGAGTCCCTAAGGACCCTGAGCATCTACCGGGAACGTACCAGGCTGGAGTCACAGAATACAGGGTGAAGCCACCACCAATGTCGGCTGCTCAGGGCCTTTGCTGGTGCTGCTCTTCACCGCTACCCACAGCCACCTCACACCAAATGCCATCCAAGGGCCTTCCTAGCATATCCTGGTAACCATGAGACCCCAGAGAGGCGCGGACAGGCAGAGGGCTTGGAAGACCTAGCACCCTCCAGGGAACTGCGTAGGCAGCTGCTGAGTAGTTTAGGGCACACTGAGGCAACTCCAGGCCCTTCCCATTACACCATTGCCAGTCTGCCTGTTGCTAAGGGTGTATATGTATATGTATATGTATATGTATATGTATATGTATATGTATATGTCCCATCCTGGGAAAATGCAGAGCTCCCGCTAGTGTGGCCCGCTGGGCCCAGCCTGAGCTGTAATTGCAGTATACACCGCTTCCTCTGCCACCGGTCCCAGTGGCTTCTGCTGGGGATTCATTCCTGGTCTGCAAGACAGCAGGAGAGGGACCATCTGTAAAGGGCCGGCAGCGAACTGAAAACGGAATCAGAGCGCTGGCTGGGGGCAAGCTTGTGCTCCGGTGCTGATTATGGCAACTGCCGACAGAACTTTCTAGGCACCCTCTAGGTCTTCATTCCAGATATCGGAGCTGGAGCAGGGAGATATGTGGCAAGACCCTCACCCTTCTTAGACCTGGACCGCCCCTGTAGTTTAACAGAAAAGGCACCTGTTAGCTTTCTCAACTCCCTCACAAACAGAGACCAAACGTAAAGGAAAACAGAACCAAAGAACCATGAGGGAGAAAAAGAAAATGTAGGCCGCAAAAGCTCTGTTCTCGCCCCAAACCACTCTATTCTGAAAAGAGAACAGGATGCTCTGAAAAAGGAAGCTGCATCCAGGGGTTGGCAGTAACACCTCAGGAATTAAAAATACGACCACTGAAATCCAAAGCTTTTTAACGGCCCATCATGTGCCACTTAACACTTCGGGTCAACGACAGGCCACTTGTGGTCCCATGAGAATGCGTAACATTGAGGACCGAGAGTGGACTCAGCCGTAGCTGCTTGCCTATCATGTTCCATCCCATCACGGCTAAAAACTTTTGGTGGTATTGAAAAACTCCCATCAATTAATTATGCCGTAGGCACCGAGACATAACGTGGCCCTCGTGCTTGTAGAGGGAATGGTAAGAACACACCGCGGCTCTGCCAGGGGCATCGAGTGCAGTACCCACGAGGTGCTGTGCCCAACACTGCAAAACAGCAATAAACAGCTATGGACTCCCTTTGCATGTACCGCGAGGCGTCTGTTATTTTAGCGTGTGTTTTGTGTTTGCCTCCTAAAGGACTGGCTGTGAAACGCAGCTGAGTTCACGCGAGTCTCCGACATCTAGTGCTCAGTTGTCCCGTTCTGTGCTTTCCTCAGCCTCACACCGCTCCATTCAAAACAACGCAACAAGCGATGAGTGATGGGTCCTTCACACCCCGCTTCCACATGGCCCAGGTGTGTAGGAAATGCCGCCGTCTAGGCTTACGCATGTATACTTTAGAATGCCAAATCATTTACTGGCAAGTTCCTCAGAATGTACCCCACCATTAAATGACACAAGACTGCGTATAAAGTGAGAGAGAAGGTCTAAAGCTCAGTCAGTAAGCAGCTTGCCACTGAGGCCTGAGGATCTGAGTCGGACCCCGAGGAGCCCTGGAAAAGGCCAGGTATGGTGGCTTACACTGTAATCCCAGTGCAGCGGGGCTGAGATGGGCAGATCTGGCCAGACCTGACTGGCCAGCTAGCTTGGTCTAGCCTGATCTAATCAGACTGCTCCAGGCCCCAGCGAGAGACTCTGAAACAAAACAACAAAAATACTTCATGGACACAAGGCATGCACACAATGAACAGGCAAGCGGGCAAAACACACATATACACAAAATACAAATAAATCAATCACACACGTGCATGTACACAAAAGATAAATATTTGTTTTAAAGTAAGGGAGAGTTAAGACTTGAAGGATTTGACATACAGATATTAAAGACACACAGGAGAGACCCGACACCTGCTGGGAGTTCCAACGAAGTGGGGAACAGAAGAGACTTAAATCGATGAGATAGTACACCCCAAGACGGAACATCCACGAGGGAGCAGAGATGGTTCAGCAGTTTCTGCTCTTGCAGAGGACCAGACTTCAGTTCACAGTACCCACAGCAGGCGGCTCTCAATCACCTGTAGCTTGAGTTTCATGGGATCCAGTGCTATCTTCTGGCCCCCAAGTGCACGCACGCGTGCGCATATGCACATACACACAGAGATGCGTATGATACATACAAATAAAAATGTATTAACTATTAAAAATGAAAAAACAGTTGGGCAGTGGTGGCGAATGCCTTTAATCCCGGCACTCGGGAGGCAGAGGCAGGTGGATCTCTGAGTTCAAGGCCAGCCTGGTCTACAGTGGGAGTTTCAGGATAGGCTCCAAAGCTCCACAGAGAAACCCTGTCTCAGAAAAACAAAAAAAAAAAAAAAAAAGGAAAGAAAGAAAAGAAAAAGAAAAGAAACAACAAAACAGTTAGGCTGGGAGAAGCTCGGGGATGGAATGGTCACCCTGTATGCACAAGACCCTAGATTGCATCCCCAGCACCGCCAGTAAACAAAACATGCAACTTGGCCACCAAGCACCCAGAACTGTGAGCAGTAAGACATCTGCCAGCATGGAACGTCGGGGCCTCTGGAGTCAGGGCCGTCAAGCAGAGCACATCCCCAGACTGGCTTTCCAGCCTGATCTTGGGCAGGGTAAGGACGCCTCTAGACTCGTGTGGTGTCATGTTAGCTGTTCCCACTCTTCAACAGACATGAGCATGATTTAACCTGGGCTCAGAAGCAGGTCGTTGACATGGACCTGAGGGCATAATCAAAGGGGTGGGGTCTTGATGGTCTTACCCGTCCACCTTTAGTCAGCCGGATCCTGTCAGGGACGCGCAGCAGAGGGGCTTGAACTTGGGTGGTCATTGTTGTCACACTTGACCTCTCCCAGGGCAGTTTCCCCTGGAGCCAGCCTTCTGAGACTGAGCAGGCACCACGAACATTCCTCCACACAGAGGGAACACGTACTTGCAGGGGCTCCGGAGACAGTGAGAACAGGACTGAGACAGGAATGGACCACTAGCCTTGCTTCTGCCCCAGCCCATTGTGACCTCCCTGGCTGTACCCAGGCCTTTGTGACTGTCACCCTGGGTAGATTTGTGAGCCAGGGTGACATCTAAAGTGCCCTCAAAGAGAGTGGCAGGTCAGCCAGGCCAGAGCCTGGACCTGGGGTCAGAAAGGGGTCACAGGGAGGAATGGAGGGGCCAAACCCCCTGGGGCCCTGCGGACACTCTCATCCCCAGTGTCCCCCAGCCCCTGTTTCAAGCAGTCACGGAGGATGCCTGGATCAGCCATGTCAGGGATATGTAAGGTGGCCCTGTCTGGTCCCCCATCAGTCCACTCAGTCATTAGAGTCTTCCAGACCTTTCCCTGCTCCAGGGACTGGGGGTGGGGGACCCAGAGTGGGAGGAGAGGCACCGGGGATGTTTCTGTCAAGTGAAGAAGCAGAGATGCCGAGGCAGAGAGCTCGAGAGCCAGCAGGGTCCAGACAAGAAGCGGAGGCCGAGGCAGAGTGGGGCTGGCCCCTGCATCCAGGGCATGAACAGGTGCCACCTAGGCCGGCAGCATCCCCCACCTCAGGACCCAGGCCCTGCCCATGCCCAACCATGCCTCCCGGAGGAGGGGCCGCAGCCTCACCCAGGACAGCTCCCACGAAGCTCCAGAGCAGGGGGACACTGGGATCTGCAGAGCAATCCTTTCTACAGCTGGAGCAGGAGAACTACAGCCTGGTGAGTGCATCCCGGGGGGCCAATGGGCACTCGCTGCTCCTCCGAGCTCCTGCCCAAGCTCACCTGCCTCGGCTTCCTGCCTAAGAAGCAACCAGGACAGGTGACCCCCCCTCTTTGTGTCCCTTGACCCCAGAAAAGACAAAACCAGGACCTTCGGGATCAGCTGGGGGCCCTCCTGGGGCCAGGGCAGCAGTTCCTGCCTCTGTGTGCCGAGCACTCAAGCTGCACAGCCCTGGCCTGGGTAAGAGGGAGTGCGCAGCCCTGGACCCCGGCAGCAGCGCCTCGAGCTGTCCACAGCCTTGGGCATGACCTGGGGGCTTTCCCGTCCCCTGAGTCTGCCTGCACCCGGCCCCTGGAAGACAGGGCACCTGTGCAGCTGCCGCGGCCGCCGCGGCAGGAGCTCTGCCGGGGGCAAGAGTCCTTTGTGCGGCAGTCCCAGGTGGGCCCCGGGGCAGAGGGGCTTGGCCTGGGGAGCAGGAAGCGGGTTCCTGTGCCCACACGGCTCCTTCCCACCCAGAGTGAGCTGCAGCAGATCCGACTGTCCTTTGAGAGGAAGAAGATGGCCATTACTGAGGTGCCCGCTTGGCTGGTGGGGGGAGGGAGCCCCGGCTGTATCCTTGAGTGTAATGCAGGCCCCCATTCCCTCCCCCCCCCCAGGTGTGGGACGGTGTGGCTGAGGTACACATGGCTCTGAACAACCAGGCCACCGGGCTCCTGGTAGGTCATCAAAGGGCCGTGGTAGGGATGACGGCATGAGAGGCAGTGGGTATGGCACAGTGGAGGGGCCGAGGACCAGCTTCCCTTCCCCTGCCTCCTAGAACCTCAAGAAGGATATCCGGGGTGTGCTAGATCAGATGGAAGACATTCAGCTGGAGATTCTGGGGTGATGCGGGGAACCCGGGCTGAACCAGGTCGGGATGGGGTGGACCCTTCTCGCATCTCCAGCCCCACAGAAGAGGTGGTGCCAGGGTGGGGGTGGGGCCTTGCACGGTCCTCACAGTGTGACTCCCCCAGGGAGAGGGCCCACTGCCGCACTCAGGCTCGGAAGCAGCAGCAGATGTCATGCATGGAGGTAAGTCCTCCCCGCTCCCTTCCGATTCCAGAGTCCCCCCCACCCAGGGTACTGCTAGGGAGACTCTGAGAAGTGGACTACAGGGACCTGGTCTCAGGGCTAGAGCCCAGTGGTGGCAAGAGACTATCCTTGGGAAGGGAGAGGGGAAGGAGCCCAGCCGGTTGACCCACAGTGGAGTCCGTATAGATTGTGGGCACCTCAGGGCTAGGGTCCTGCCCTTCCCCAAGGCCCCCAAGGTACTGAGAACAGGCTCTGACCCAGCGCCCTCCCCAACAGAAAGACAGGCCACAGCTGGGATTACCCGAGGGCCTGAAGAGCCAGCTCTGGTAGGTCACTTTCTGGGCAGAGCCCAGTGCCCCAGGATCATCCCCATGGGCACTCCCTACCCCTTAATTGCCACCGCCTGCAGGCTGCTGGCCTTGAGGCTGCTGCTGGGCGCTCTGCTGGCCTGCACAGCGGCCTACGTGTACGTGGTGGACCCTGCACCCTTCGAGGGGCTGGTGCCACCCCTGCTGAGCCGAGCCGCCGTCTGGAAGCTCAGGGCCCTACTGGGTCCCTTCTTGCGCCTCGAGGTGGACGACTTCCTGCCTTTCTAGGCCAGAGGCACAGAGGCCCCAGAAGGAGGAGGCCAGGTGGCTGGCGCTGCCCCCGGGGCCCGGTGGCTTTAACTGGTTCCTGCCTGCCTACAGCCCTGCTGCACAGTCCCTGCCAGGAGCGGCAGAGAGGGGTGGAGGAGGGGCTTGTCCTGAGGGCTGGGCCTGCAGCTGGACATACAGTCATGACACACTTTGCATGTAAGCTTGTTTCCATGGAAACTGGGGCTTTGGGGGGAAGAGGTTGGGGGACTCTCTGAGGCACTCTGTTGGTCTAGTAGTCGGGGTGTGGTGCTGGGGCCCCTGCCTCAGATCCCAGTCTCGGCTCCTGTCTGCCCTCCGAGGTTTTCCTCCATAAAGGCCCCCTGGAGCCTGAGGGGTGTCAGGATGGTCTTCCCTAAGAGGCTACAGCTGGCAATTACGGGAGTCCTTGGGGCTCACCTCCTGGATGAGGCCCTCCTGAGTACCTCAGAAGTCAGAGCCCTGAATCTGCTGACCCACCCCATCTTGTCAACCCTGCCAGGGCTACCAACCCCTCACCCCAGGGTCCCTGCCAGTTCAGCCCCCTGGCACTGTCCAAGGCTAAAGTAAGGGGATTCACATTGCTGGATAGTGCCATGGAGGTAAACACAAAAAAAAATTTATTAGGGTAGTTGAGGGAGGAAATCTTGTAGAACAGAAGAGAGTTTTGTGGACTCTGTGTCCCCAAATGGGAGACAGAACTGCTGCCCAGAGTGGACCCCAGGACAGGGCCCCTGTGCAAAAGGGGGAGTTGGCAGGGGCTCTGTTCTGCCCTTCTAGAGGCATCCAGGCCTGCAGGCTGGGGTGTTCCCAGAGCATCACCCCTGAACACAGAAGGCCCAGGTGGGGTCAGGACAGGCAAGAGGCAGAGGTGGATGGGCCAAGTCTGTGGTCCATCAGGCTGGCTGGCAGCTCCAGGACTTTAAGGCATCTGTTCATGTGCTTGGGGTGGGGTGGAGGGGTGCAGTAGCCTGCAATGACCTGAGACCCCCACCCCAGCCCAACCCACAGAGGCCTGGGCTCCCCAGAGGAGTGGCTTAAAGTGCTTGGAAGGGATAGGGAGGCTGGGATGAACGTCATGCTGGTTCCCAGTAGCTCTGGGGCCACCCCCAGTGGGGCACTGGACCCCTGCAGCAGATGGGGGGACTTCCTGAGGTCACCTGGACACGGGGTCATGGGCCCTGGCAGACTGATCAGTCAAGATGTGGCTGGTTGATAGGGAACAGACAGGGATCCTGGGCCACATCCAGCCCCACTCTAAGCTCTACAGCAGCCTGGTCTTCGGCATCCCCAGCAGGTTGTTCATAGCCCTAGAGCCACCTACTGGTGTCCTGCTAGGGACCCGAGAGGCTGGGGAAAAGGCTGGATGCAGCAGAGTGTAGCCGGCAAATGGTCCCACGGGGGGGCGCCCCAGCGGCCACGCTCCAGGGGGCCCGCAGCGGCGGGTGATCCTCGGGAAGGCCAAGGTGGCAGAGGTGCAGGCCAGGAGTCCCCCTAGGCGGACCACGCCACCCCCATCCACGACTACAGGTGCCAATTCGCCCCCTGTGGGCCGATGTCCATGAGAGAGAAGCAGAAAGGTGGAGGTCAGCTGGGGTACAGCTATGGGGCCCTAGGCTCTGGACACCTCCCCTCGGGGTCCCTGGAAATCCCTCCCCAAGATCCTGGACCTAGCCCAGCCCTCTCCAGCCCTGCTCTGAGCCCTAGCTCAGAAAAATGTGGCTTCCTGGCACTCTGTCATCCCTCCCTTGGCATGTAGCACGGAAGAGTGATTTCTAGAAAGTACAGTAACTTCTGTAGGGCTCTCAGCCAGGTGTTGGCCCCAGGTGCACCCTCCAGTGCACCTGCCTCGGAGTCCCAGGAGGCAGCTGTGGTCCTAGCCTGTCACCACAAACCCTGCTGTCCAACACGACACCGACTCACCAGCCGCAGGCCCCTTACCAACTGGCCTGACTGGGCACATCACCAGAAATGTCCAAGAGGAATGTGCCATCCTGTGCCAGCTGGCCAACCCCTTTCCTGACACCCTCCCCTGCATCCACAGCCGTAGCCTTTGCCCAAGGAAAGGATCAAAATGATTTTTCCTTTTTTTTAATAAAATTATAGATATATAGATGTAAATATAAAAACGTAAAACAGACAATGCAAGCGGACGCTGCCATGTGCTTACTCGGGTCCCTGGTGCCAGGGGGGAGAACTGACCCTCCCTGATAGACTTTCCAGCGGCACTGGCCAAGCCAATGCTGGGAACTCTGTATGCTTTGGGGTGAGGACTCTCCAGTTTGGCAGGGTAGGCCTGAGAGTGAGTGAGGGGGGCTCCAGGCCCCACCAGTCCCTGGGGCAGCATCTGGTCCCCGCCCTGCTCTGGCCTACCACCCTCCCATCACCTCCCACAAGAGCATAAAGCAGAAGTTAAGGCTTTGATGAGAGAACAGTGGCAGCCGGGCGCAAGGACGACAGACGAGGCACGGCAGCACAGCGTACAGACACGGACACAGACCCACCAGCCAGGCAAGACAGGGACACAGGGAACTGGGACCCCTGCTACAGCTGGATCATCCGTCCGTCCATCCGTCCCAACCCAGAGCAGGCCGGGGTCACACTCCCTGCAGAGCATAGGCCTTGCCAAGCAACAAGCTACCAGCTACCAGTGAAAGGCCGTGTATTAGGAGCAGCTGGGAACACAGGGCTAGAGCAACCCATCCAGAAAGGACAGAGTGGGCCCGTGGGACTGTTGGGGACTGGCCTTGGGGAATGAGGGCAATAGGGTGCAGGGCTGAGACTGGCTGCTGGAGGAGGCGGTCCAGGTCCCCATCACAGCCCACAGCCTTGGATCCGTCTGCCCCGTGAGTAGATAAGTTGATGAACAGGCAGAGGCCGGAGCACAAGCTTGTGGAGAGGCAGGGCTTTCTTTCCTGTTGATGTGTCCACACCAGGCCTGGGTAGCCTCCTCTCCCTGGGGCAGAGAAGTTGATGGGGGTGGGGGAGCTACTGTGGGGGTCCTGGTCCCCGTGGAATCACAGCAGATGAGTGGTGCTCAGTTCTTACACCGAGATTTCGTACGTAGTCCCACCCACGCCGGATACCTTCTTAACCAGCGTGTGCCGGGCAGGGCTGGCGTTGGGCCCCATGGGGCTGGCAGCTGGCCCCAGACGGGCCATGCCCGGGGACTGCCCGTTAAGCTTACTTGGGGGGGTCTTCAGCTGAGGGTGATCCCTGCATCAAAACATGCACACACAGTGAACACAGGACAATGGGCAGTAGGACACATGCAGATGTGGACCCTGGGCAGTCCTCTCCCCTAGAGGGTTGTGCTATCACAGGACAGACAGACAGATACTGCCAGAACTGCTGTCACCCTCATGGGTACCTTGATCTCTCCCAGTTGAATCAGCCAAAGAGCAGGCAGCCTGAGTCTCTGGGCCCTACCCTGTCCACTGGGCTTCCCAGCTCTTTCCCCACCGTCGCTCAGGAAGATGAGGGGCAGCACTGCCCCTCTGACCCGCCCAGAGCTGACTAGTGCTCCCCTGAGGGAACTGTAGCTGGTCCCCCCATCTCACCACTCCTGAAAAACCAAAGAGCTCCTGCACAGGTAGAGATACCCTACGGGTCCTTTGTAGCCACATAGCCCAAACGGGGTCTCCTCTCAGGACTCACCAGAGACCAAAACAATGAAACCAATGCTCAGGGCCTGGGTCCCACCTGCCCTTCCCCATTTTGAAGCATGGAGGCCCCTTGCTTTCTACGGCTGCATGCTCAAGTGTGTATCAGGTGTGGTGAGGCAATACCCCCTAGTCTTAGCATGCTGAGCACACGTCAAGGCCAGGGGAGGACCATGTGCCTGGGAAGATCCATGTGTGCCTGGCTCCAGGGAGGGCCCTGGGCCAAGTCTGTGCTGGCTCAGCATGCAACTGTGTCTGTTCCCACATACATCATGTACCCAGAGCCGGACCTTCCACAACAGGGTAACTAGGGGCCTTGAAGGCAGGGTAAAGCCCACCCACCTACCGTCCCTGTAGACAACCGTGGGTCTCTAGGGAGCTGGGAGAACCAGGTCATCAGGGGCCCCGCACAGACAAACCCATCTACACTTCTGGGCACCCACCTCTGCATAGCCAGTGAGGGTGGCCGGTCCGAGAGGTCCGTGTGGATGAAGGCAACAGCCTTGGAGCCCGTGTAAGAGGGAGATCGGGGAGTGCCTGGTGGGGAAGGCAGGCCCTGACGGGCAGGTGACCTGTGTGAACCACTGCCAGGCCGGGGTCCCGGGGCATTGTTGTTGGCTTGGTCAGCCTGCAGGGAGGAAGAAGATGTCCGCGGTGCCCGACTCATGGAGCTCGACAGCGAGGACAATGACGTCTGCAGGGCAGGATTTCGGGCACCACCGAAGCCAGGCCCAGCCACGAGGTCATCCCTGGAGCCATAGCGCAGCACAGAGCCACGGGGACCTTCTGTTAACACACTGGCCTGTTGCAGGCTGTAGGAGCTGGGTGTGTCATAGACACCAGAATCGCCAAAGAGTGAGTCAGTCTGGGAGCGCAGCAGCCGTTCACGCTCTTCCCTGTCCTTGCGCTCCTGGATAGAGGCCATGATGGTCCGAGACAGGTTGTCATAGCGCACAGGAGAGGGTTCCCTAGGCCGGGGACCCAGCACAGGGCTGAAGCTGCGGGGTGGGGGCCGCGGTGGATCTGATGGCCCAGGGTGCAGGTAGGGTGAATGGTAGCTGGCCATGCCAACAGAGGGGTGTGTGGAGCATGCGTGGCCACTGGGTGAGCCGGGGTTAAGTAGGCTGTCATAGGACAGGCTGCCGTTGCGGTTGGGCAGTGCATGGGGGGCAAAGAGACCACGGTGAGGTGTGGGGGGCCCACCTTCAGAGTGCAGTGGCTGTAGGGTCACGTGGTCCCCACCCCGCCGGCTGGCAGCCTTGAGACTCAGGGAGCGTAAGGCACCTGAGAAGGCATCCGTGGCATTGAGGGGTGGGGAAGGGGGGTAGGGAGGATGCAGACCACCGGGCCCGTGGTCTGGGAGATCCAGGCTGGGCTCGGACACAAAGTCTAGACTGTGGGTGCTGTCATCTGCCAGAGTAAGGGAGTCGGGGCCTGGGACCTGTAGGAGGACAGGGCGCGCTCACCACTGCCCACCCTCACCCCTTACCTGACCCTACAGCACCAAGAACTGAGGCTGCGGTTCAATACACCAGCCATGGAAGCAAGGGCAGCTAATACAACCTACTCAGCACAGGTTCCCGTCCCTGCCCCACATCCACAGAAGACTCAGTTCCACGTCCCTAGAGTTTGTCTCCCAAGGACAGGTGGTGTGGGGCTTGCCTCTACCCACAATCACTAAGACAGGCTACATGGACCCTTTCTAGAGCAACCCAGGGGGGACTCTGGTGGAAGGCCAGACAGAGCTAGTTTCTCCAGACATGCAGACCTGCCTGCGGTCTTGGGTCTCTAACCTAGAGCAGCCACAGGTAGAAGGCTTTAGTCCCTGTGACTAGGGCTGAGCCGCACGCCCCTCAAATTCCAAAGCCTGAAAGAGTAATATTGTCCTGGTATACCCAGGCAGCCTTATGGATTCCTTTGTGGGGCACGGATCAGCCACAGGAAGGTGGTGGCACAGGATGGGCATCTGAAGCCCATCGTTCCAACCTGCACAACCCTCCTGCTGGGCAGCAAGGCTACCACACTGCCCCTAGAACGGACCCTCACCCATAGGGGCCCAGGCTCACAATCTCACCCAATGGACCAGATAAGGAGGCCCCCAGGGCAGAGCTGGTCTAGATGTGTGGGACTAGTCCCGTAGGCAACCTCTAGGAGGGATGGCAGCCTTGGGAACACCACAGGCTGCTCCATGCCGCTGACTGTTCCACAGTGGTAGACAAAGAAGTACTTAACTCAGGAAAATAAATGTGCTTTCTCAAACAAACCTTCAATTCTTCTGAGGGCTTCCCGTGGGTCTTACAGAATGACTAATGGTGGAATTCCAGACATCCTAACTACCAGAGGGCGAAGCTGCCCACCTGCTCTAAGGGCAATGCCAATGGAGAAAAAGATATGCCAGGCCAGGACGCTCGCACATGCTCCCCTCCAAGGGTCCCCAGCTCAGCATGCCCACAGGATGGAGTCCTGCCAGCATGCACAGGACAGCTCTGACAAGGATGGCCTTGTCAGGAGCACAAGAGGGACAGGGACAGGACACCATGACCAAATAAGGCTCTCTCCGGGGACAGACCTTCCCCAGGGGCAGGTTCCTCCCAAGGTAGGGCTGTCTCCAGAGTTGGGCCCTTCCCAGAGGCAGAGCCTGGACTTACCTGCTCACTGGGTCCACAAAAGGGCGTCTTGGGAGCAGTGGAGAAAGCTGGCCGGAACTTATACATGGCCGGTGTTGGGGGGCTGGTCCTCTGTACTGATAGGGCACTCTCTGGGAAGAGGGATCACCGTCATGGGGGAGTCACACAAGGGTCAGTCCACGTCCCTTTCCTCAGCTGCCCTCCACCTTACCAGCACTGCCAGGTCTTGGGGTCTTCAGATCTCTTCCAAAGGTGCCAGCTTCTATCTTGGGGGGCAGTGGAGGTCCAAGGTCCAGGGGCTTCTCATCCAGCTGGTCTAGACTGCCCTTGGACTAGTGAAGAGGGAGCAGTGGTGGGTGAAGTGTGGTGTTTTTTGTTTTTTGGGTTTTTTTTTCGGTTTTTTGAGACAGGGTCTCTCTGTGTAATTTTGGTGCCTGTCCTAGATTTTGCTCTGCAGACCAGGATGGCCTTGAACTCACAGAGATCCTGGCTCTGCCTCCCCGAGTGCTGGGATTAAATGCGTGCACCACCACCGCCCGGCTTGTGTTTTTTTTTCTTTTCCAAGACAGGGTTTTTCTCTATAGACCAAGATGTCCTCAAACTCACAGAGATCCACCTGCTTCTGCCTCCCCAGTGCTGGGATTAAAGGCGTGCGCCACCATGCCCAGCTTGAAGTTTAGGTTTTTTAATAGTATCTTCCTGTGGCTCTAGACACATGCACAAAACCTGCCCAGTTTCTCTACCTCTTCTTCCTGTCCCCACCCACACACCCCACACTCAGCCTCCTTACTGTTCCAGTCCAGACCCCCACCTTGCTGCGGCCAGACTTCAGCCCATTGTCGCTAAGTTTG